CATCCGCATGTTCTCGCTGCATCTTCCGAGTGGGGGGAGTTATGGTAACTGGAAAGGGTACAGCGGAGGTCGGGGGTGGGGGTCGGGGACTGGACTTGTGCGGGCCAGGGCCTCAAGCGCGCGGGGGTGGCCGGTGCGGGGTGGTCTTGGAGCCCCACCGTGGAGGCGGCAACCTGTGTGTCCGCGTGTGTGTTCCCGTTCATGCTCATGTCCCCTGTGTGTCAGTGCCATGTGCACACGGGGTCTGATTCCTCTTGCACACATGTGCAGCCATCAAGTGCAAGCCTGCCCTGTCTTATCCTGCCTCTGCACGGTTTCTACTTAGGGGGCTGCTGAGTCGGCCACTGGATTGTGGGGCAGTCCATGACCATACTGACTGGTAATATCACCTCTGACCCTGAGCATGCATGTCCCTGGTTGAGGCTCACTTCCAGCAGTCTCCTGTGTGTGGAGATGTGTAGCTGCATGAGCAGGATTTTCTGTGTCCCTGGTGGCAGGTGTGTGTCTTTGCATGTGTGTTTCATCATTGATCTGGGTATCTGTGTCAGTCCCACCATGGGTGTCCAGGGTGTGTCTGGTTGTGGGTGGTATGCAAGTGGGGGGAGGGAGAAAGTGTGTGTGAGTGTGTTCGTTGGAATCCTACTGTACATGAAACACCTTTGGGCTAGGCAGGTGTTAACCCCTACTCTGTCAAGAAGTGGAGACAGAAAAGCTGAAAAGGGAAAGTGGGGTAAAGAGGAAAAGTGGAGAGAAAGGAAGAGAGGAGAAGAGAGAGCCAGAGAGAAAGAGTAGCTGGAGATTGGGAATGTGGGAGATAGTTGAGCCAGATTTAGAAAAGAGAAGTGAGGATAAGAGAGTTTAGGATGGGGAACTGGGTGGAGATGGTGGGAGAAGGGGCCTGGGAACTGAGGTGGGGGCAGGGAGAGTGGAGTCAGGCCTTTTGGTAAAGTGATCTCTGAGAGAAGAAAGTGAGAAGATGGAAGACAGCACGGATTCACTTGATTTAGTTCACGGAGACCCTGTAGGATCGGGGAGGCCACTCAGGCAGAGGCTGGCTCACAGTGAGGCCTGTCATGGCAGGGACTGTCATTAGAGGTTCCTCTCCCCAGTGTAGAGATTTGTCCCCCATTTCTCTGCTCTCTCTTCAACTCTGTTCCCCACTCTGCTCTGGCAACCTCCCTCCCTGGCTCTCCTTGAGAGCTGCCAGCTGGGTGTGATAAGGAAGAAAGACCGAAGAGAAGGTTCAGGATTTAGGGGACTGCAGGGCAAGGGGAGATTCTGTGGGTGATGGCAAGATTAGAGAGGTCGGAGACGCGGGAGTTCAAGCCCTTGCTGTGTGTGCGTGTAAGAGCAATTGTGTGTGTACAGAGGGTGTGTACATGTGTGGGTGTGTGCATAATGCCTGTGTTACGGGTCTGTGTAGGTGGCTGTTATGTGCGTGCATGCGTGTATACATCATGCAGGGATGGGACATAGAGACCCACGATCACAATGTATATGGATCAGGTTTGCTGTGTGTACATGGATTTGTGCTGTGTTTTCTGTACATGTCACTGCATGCAGCACTAATAACAGGATGTCCTGGGTTTCTGTCACTCTGCCCCCTTTTCTTATGTGTTTTTGCTATTCTTATACTTGCAGCAGTGAATCTTTGTAAGCACATGTGTGTTTGGCCTCCATGTACCTGTGACTTATGTATGAGTTCATGGATCTTAGTTCCTGGTAATATGTGTAAGGTTACATTACTTCCAAGAACCAAGTGGACCAGTTAGCAAATTCATTCTCCTTCTGTAAATTCTTTAGTTCCAAGGCAAAATTTTAGTGAATTTGAAGTCAGACTTTATTAAAGGAGCTTACATCTGAAAATAATGGCTGAGCTAGGTTCTCTGGAATGAGTGAGACAGCCATACCTGAGAAATGCAGAGACTAGGAAAGATATATCCTGAGCCCTTAGATGCATTGTTGAGTGTGTAACAGAAAGGTTATTAACACATTTGCTCCTTGTTTTTTCTTTGTCCTGGTAACAATCACCGATACCTGTGTTGGAGTCAGGGACCATATGGGGGAGAACAAGGGGTTATCCTGACACAGTGGATGTGGTTGTACTTTTCATGTGAATGAAGGATGCAGGGTTACCTTGATGCGGATGTGATCATGGTGAACTCAAGCATGTATTTTAGAAGTTAAACAGGCTTCCCCTGTGTGGGGGCTATGTGTGTATCTCAGGGTTAAATGTCCATTTCTGTAATGTGCTGCCCATATGATTGCCTGAGGGACTCGGGCCATATGTCCACACCAGCAGCTCTCACGTGAATGGAGTCCAAGTATGTCCTCCCCTGTTGTAGTACTCATATATGTCTAAGCATGTATCTGTGAGGTATGTGGGCTTCAGGGTCTCGGGCTGTGGATCCATGACACCCCTATGCTCACAGCTGTCTGTCTGCCTCCTAAGCACCTAGATCCAAATAGTTTTGCATCGCGATTCTCATATACACGTATCTCCACAGCTTAGTGTATGTTTCTGTGCTCTACACATATATTTCTGAGGGACTGACAAGGGCCCCTGTGTCATGGGATCCACATTTTTGTGTGCAGGCCTCCTAACACTTGGGTTTTAGAGGCAAGGGGAACATTGGGACATTGGGACTGATTCTAGGGCAGTTTGCAATTCTGGAATCAGACAGTGAAAATGTTGCTGTAGCCTTCCCATTTTCTAGAACCTACAGGGTTAACAAGCAGCTCTTCCGGTCCACCCCCCTCCAGCCTGTGGCTTCTTGTTGCCTTGGAGATGGTAGCCCCGCCCCTGATGCAGCACCTGCCCCCCCATTGGCTGCAGTGGTGACTGTGGGGCTGAGGGGGGAGCCCAGGCCTGGGCAGCCATTCTGGAGCTGAAGCCGGAGCTTGGCATGCCCCCACTTTCATTCTCCTCTAGCCCCTGGGCCCCTCAGATTCCCTGGCAGCAGAGCTTCAGCTTCCCTCTTCAGAGCTGCCACCCTTCTAGACTCTTGGCAGTCTTAGCTTCATCCGCATTCACCTCTCCTCCTCCTCTCCCTACTCTCACTTGGGAGTCCCCCAACCCCCACTGCCCATTTCCCCATTTCCTTGAATTCTTTTCTCCTAGCCTTCTGAGTCCCTGCCACTGCAGTGCACATGTAACCGGCCCCTTTTTCCCCTTCTCCCTACCTGCCTCTTCCTTGAATTTTCTGTCCCCAGTCTTTTCCCCCTGTCACTCCTCACAGGTCCCTAACAAGACTTCTCCTTCCAGTCCAGGGAGGGGGTCATGGGAGACAGCCTTGGGCCTCCAGAGAGACGGGGGTTCCAGGAGGGCGGAGAGCAGGTGGAAGATGTGCCCAGCTGAAGGAAGAGGAAAACTTGCCTATGGGCAATGACCTTAACCCAACTCTCCCCCCCCAGCTAGTCTCTTCCTGGGGGGGTCGGCACCAAGGACCTATCTTCTGTAGATATGTGTCCTTTATTACTGGGATTTTGCTGACTTTCTCAGCCATGCCCCTCTGCTGACTGCCAACCCCAGTCATGGGCCTAAGGCCTCCCACTCCGTCCCCCTCGGGGGGCTCCGGCTCAGGTTCCTTGCCCCCTCCTTCCCGCAGCCAACCTCTCAGCCGCCGCTGCTCTTCCTGCTGCTTTCCAGGGGGTAGGTGAGGCTGGAGTGAGGGGCAAAGGGAGGTGGGCCAATGTGCTGGGGCCAGGGGTGGAAACCTGGGCCGACAACGACCCCCTTCAAAACTTCCCTTCTGGCCCTTCCCTTTCCTTCCCTCCAGAATACCACTT